AACATAACACTGTTCTAAAACCTATTTTAAGTGAACATAACACTATTCTATAAACTATTTTAAGTGAACATAACACTATTCTATAAACTATTTTAAGTGAACATAACACTATTCTATAAACTATTTAAGTGAACATAACACTGTTCTAAATCTTATTTTAAGTGAACATAACACTGTTCCAAAACTTATTTTCAGTGAATATAACACTATTCCAAAACTTATTTTCAGTGAATATAACACTATTCCAAAACTTATTTTAAGTGAATATAACACCATTCCAAAACTTATTTTAAGTGAACATAGCACTATTCTAAAACTTATTTTCAGTGAATGTAACACTATTCTATAACCTATTTTAAGTGAATATAACACTATTCTAAACTTATTTTAAGTAAATATAACACTATTCTATAAACTTATTTTAAGTAAATATAACTATTCTAAAACCTGTTTTAAGTGAACATAACACTATTCTAAAACTTATTTTAATTGAATATAACACCATTCCAAAACTTATTTTAAGTGAACATAGCACTATTCTAAAACTTATTTTAAGTGAACATAACACTATTCTATAACCTGTTTTAAGTGAATATAACACTATTCTATAACCTGTTTTAAGTGAATATAACACTATTCTATAACCTGTTTTAAGTGAACATAACACTATTCTATAACCTGTTTTAAGTGAACATAACACTATTCTATAAACTATTTTAAGTGAACATAACACTATTCTATAACCTGTTTTAAGTGAACATAACACTATTCTATAAACTGTTTTAAGTGAATATAAAACTATTCTAAAACCTGTTTTAAGTGAACATAACACTATTCTATAACCTGTTTTAAGTGAACATAACACTATTCTATAACCTGTTTTAAGTGAACATAACACTATTCTATAAACTGTTTTAAGTGAATATAACACTATTCTATAAACTGTTTTAAGTGAATATAACACTATTCTAAATCATTCTGACGTAAAAAAACTCGTTAAGTAACTCCTTTTGAAATAGCCTGCAGTTTAAGCACCGTTGATGCTGTATTAAATACAAACAGAAGATTTTCAACGAAGCAACGCTTACGGATTAGTCATAGACATATTCTAGTCAAGGTAAATGTACTCCAGCTCTTGTACACCATTGGTAGAGAAAACTCGTAAGCCCACTTAATCGTATAAACTGTTTTCTTGTGTTGTACGGTTTCTAAAGCTACGTTAATTGTAGCGTAGTAGCATAAATTATTTACATGACTAAAAACAGAATCAAATCACTGTATATTTCTAGAAACAAGCATTAAATATTTCATTTTCTTATCATAAATCTGTCTTCAGGAAATTAGGATGTTCCTTAAATCTAACACAAATAATAAAATGAATACTAATTTCGGTGAGAAAAAAGTTAAGCCTAAACTGTTACGAACGAAACATAGCATAAGTTTTTCTGTTGTTTGTTTTTTTTTTTTCCAAAAAAAAAAAAAAAAGCAGGGCAGAACTTGTCAGTTTTGCATATCACAAAATAATAATAAAAATAATATTACCCTACATTAGTATATCTTCAAAGAAATCAGTCTATTGTATAATTTATTTAAACATACTTGAATCAGCCAGCTCCCAAAAATGCATGCCACTGTACTTGTCTAAAAACCCCACAAACTTTTCACATGTGCATCTTCCGAACTTTAGAAGAACTGTATTGGTAGTTTAAAACATACCAGTCACGATTAACTTACGACGAGGTAGACTTTGAGTTTCTCCCCCTCTTCCTCTCCATAAAGTTTGTTCTATTTTTACCACCAGTCCAGTGGGTTGGCGACATTCCAAGGACTGTGTTGGATTACCTGAACTTCTCTGGTTTTACATTAAACAACAAACGTATGTAATAAATGGCCAATCTGACCATCAAATTTATTTTCTACAAAGCTAGTAGATAATTAGATCTGAAGATGATTTATTTATTTATTTAATACATCGAGGTGGAGGGTTCATATACAATTTAGAAGCAAGTCCAACATCAACGAACACCCTGCCATCTGTTGGTTTCTTCTTAAATTATTTTGTATGGTTCAAGCAATTATTAATATGAAGTCAAATTGAAACTTTTACACATTATTAAATTTAGCGTTCATCGTCACCAGTAAAGATAATAAAACAAGCAACGATGAAGAAGAAGAAGAAGAAATAGTAAACATATCTTGTCTCAAATTCCTGCAAAATATTCGTGAAATTGATGCATTACTTGAAATAGAACATCATACTGCTCCATTTCCCTGGCGGCTCAGCGGTAAGCTTGAGTGCTTATAACGCTTGAATTCAGAGATCGATACCCGTGGCGGATGGAGAATCGATAGCCCACGATGTACCTTGGTGCCAGAAATAAACAAACAAGATAGTGTTCACCAGACTTGGTCTGTATATGATTTAGAAGCCTTTCAATACTGATTAATGTAAAGTTTGAAGTTTTGTACTGTGAGTTTCGGTTTGTGTTTCAGCGAACGCTCCTGAAGCTGTAAAGTGAAACGTTTAGTGTCTAATTAAATAAAAATAACATTTTGGTGTCATAAGGTCATATATTTCTAGTATTAACAGTAATATGGAGCTTGTATCTCGTATATTTGTTTTTAGGTAACAACCTTTTAGTTACTCTGGGTCTGATTTATTAGTTTGTTTCTAGGTAACAACCTTTTAGTTACTCTGTGTCTGATTTATTAGTAACTAAAAGGTTGTTACCTAGAAACAAACCAATAAATCAGACACAAAGTAACTAAAAGGTTGTTACCTAGAAACAAACCAATAAATCAGACACAGAGTAACTAAAAGGTTGTTACCTAGAAACAAACTAATAAATCAAACACAGAGTGTGTCTGATTTATTGGTTTGTTTCTAGGTAACAACCTTTTAGTTACTCTGTGTCTGATTTATTAGTTTGTTTCTAGGTAACAACCTTTTAGTTACTCTGTGTTTGATTTATTAGTTTGTTTCTAGGTAACAACCTTTTAGTTACTCTGTGTCTGATTTATTAGTTTGTTTCTAGGTAACAACCTTTTAGTTACTCTGTGTCTGATTTATTAGTTTGTTTCTAGGTAACAACCTTTTAGTTACTCTGTGTCTGAGTTATTAGTTTGTTTCTAGGTAACAACCTTTTAGTTACTCCGTGTCTGATTTATTAGTTTGTTTCTAGGTAACAACCTTTTAGTTACTCCGTGTCTGATTTATTGGTTTGTTTCTAGGTAACAACCTTTTAGTTACTCCGTGTCTGATTTATTGGTTTGTTTCTAGGTAACAACCTTTTAGTTACTCCGTGTCTGATTTATTAGTTTGTTTCTAGGTAACAACCTTTTAGTTACTCTTTTTACAAGCATCCGTTGCTTGGTAACTATATTTCTCACTCTTTATGATTATGATGTGGAATGCCCTTCATATTCACCAGAGTTGTCACCTCCAGACTTTTTTTTATAGGGTTTTTTTAAAAGATAGAATTGTTGCGAAACCCAAGTTTCGGACTATTAATAAGCTCAAGGACAATATCCGTCAGAAGATTCGGACCCCCTACAAACATTCAAAGAAGTGATGAGCAGTATGGCAGTCCGAATGTAGGCTGTTATCAGTAAACATTGAACATGTGGTGTGAAAAGGGATTATGGGAACATAAACTTCCACCATTAATCTTTAAATAAATACATTCATTATTTGTTAACCACCAGATTTTGTATTGTTTTAGGCCGCATTAAAATGTATACAGTTTGTTGGGACACCCTATAGTTTATGCTTTTGGAATTATAAGTTGCTTGGTGGCCATTTATCTTATTATATATATATATATATATATATATTACAATGATAATTTGATTGGTAAATATATATCTTATTTATTTAAAACTGCCACCAATGACGCAGCGGTAAATCTGAGGGGTTATAACCTAAGTAACACTGACATGTTCTTTTTCCTTTCCTTTCGCCCCCTAGTAGTGGCACAGCGGTATGTCTGCGGACGTACAACGCTAGAAACCGGGTTTCGATACCCGTGGTGGGCACAGCACAGATAGCCCATTGTGTAGCTTTGCGCTTAACAACAAACAAACGAGCTATAAAAAAAACATAAATTCGTGGAGTGACTCACTACACAGCCTGAGCACAGATAGCCCTTTGTGTAGCTTTGTGCTTAATAACAAACAACAATAAGTTAACAAGTGCCCCCCAGTGGCACAGTGGTATGTCTGCGGACTTATACTGCTAGAAACCGGGTTTCGATACCCGTGATGGGCAGAGCACAGATAGCCTTTTGTGTAGCTTTGTGCTTAATAACAAACAACAAAAAGTTAACAAGTACATCATTATATTAGAAGAAGGTGGGTCCACCTGTTGGAAGCGATTAAGTTTTTGTTTATGTGATTTATCAAACATTTCCCATCCTTCGTGTTTTTTTTGTTTGTTTTTTGCTATTATTATTATTATTATTACTATATTACTTGATAAAAATAAACAGTGACGACATATTCATCTGTGGCAAAGTTTAAAAACAAATTAATATATATACCCTTAAAAATACCCCAGCATTAAATGAGCGATAAAAACTAGAGGACGCTATCATCTGTGTTGAGAAGTAATAGAAGTCACATGATCTGTGGTGTGATTCAGTGGTACTAAGTTAACTTGTTTACGAACACTTAACCGAGGAAAACTTTTTCATTATACTTTCAGTGCTAAATATTTTTGAAAGATAAAAAAACTGTAAGGCAATGAGATAGTCAATTACAAATTTACGCGAAACTTCGTTAAGCCTATTTTAGTCCATATTAACAAGAATAAAAAATATTTACTTGTTGTTAAGCGCAAAGCTACAGAGGGGGATATCTGTGGTCTCCCCACCACGAGTATCGAAAGAAGACTAAAATCCGCAGACTTTCTGCTGTACCACTGGGGGTCATCTTTGTTTGTCTCCGCAACAATTAAACAAAAATCGAGTTGCGTGAAAAAGAATATTTGATTCCAAACTTACCTTATTCATCTCACAGAGGGAGCTACGCTACTCGGTAAGCTGAAAGGAATAAATAAATATATTATAGCAACGTAAAATACTTGACGAGGTATCAGTTATTTAAAAATATCGTAACATTTAGAAATTTAAGGGAAGTTAGCCAGACTGGAAAAGTTCTCACATCAATTAAGTTCACTAACCCTATTGGTATTCTAGGGTAAATATCTTTTTAAACACATTTTTCTAAACTATTTATGCACCAAATTCCAAAAAAAATACGATTAATGTTGCATTTAATCTCTTAGTTTACCGCTAGGGTTCTCTTGTGTATTTTGCATGGAAAACGAACTATTTCGTTCGTGTTTTATAAAAACAAGAGGTCAACAATTTGAGGATTAATAAAGCTAGATGTTTTTCACTCATTTGTCAAGGTTTACGGATTTACAACACTAAAATCCGCGGCTTGATTCCCCCGTGGTAAACAGATCGCAGGTCGTCTGTTGTATAGATTTACGCTAACACCACCACCGTTCGTTAAATAATTCTGTTGGCCAAAGCCCAAATTGTTACATTACTTATGACATCCGAAACGCCCGAATAATTGGTATATAATAACTTCCGATCAGAGCAAGTTACTTATTTAGAGCGAAATTAAAAATTAACTTGGCCATCAGTATAGCTAATTAAGTAAAATTTTGTTAAATTTATAGCTATAGAATGGATTGTTTCAAATTTGCTGTAAACGACAATTTCGACCATAATCCCAATAATACCTCACGGGGTTCGGAAAGCTTAGGATAATTAGGTTAGACATCAATACATATTTTAAGCTAACAATCCATAAAAGAAAACCTTTATAATAAAAGTATAATAATAAACCACAGACCAATACATAAAGTAATGACACTCGAAATACTAACTAGTACAAACAATGTTGTTGATGAAAGCAACAATATGAACAATATATTATACCTAACATAGCGAATGTTATGTAATAGGCACCCATTATTTCCAGTCAAAACATGTTATAAACAATTAATGTCCATGTAACCACGGCCTATAACTACAACTCAGGGTTCAATCTCTTCGACGTTCACAGTGCATATCAAAATAATAATAAAAAAAAAACGACAAAATGAGGAAAAATGAAATCTCCTCGACACTGAAGAAGAAATAGTTTGTTGTTCGTGGAAATAATTCTCAAAAATACCGAGTATATTTTATATTATTCATGGAAATGATTCTTTAAAATACTGAATATATTTTATTCATGGAAATAATTCTATGAAGTGCTGAGTATATTTTATGTTGTTCATGGAAATGATTCTTTAAAATACTGAATATATTTTATTCATGGAAATGATTCTCTGAAGTGCTGAGTATATTTTATGTTGTTCATGGAAATAATTCTCTGAGGTGCTGAGTATATTTTATGTTGTTCATGGAAATGATTCTCTGAGGTGCTGAGTATATTTTATGTTGTTCATGGAAATGATTCTCTGAAGTACTGAGTATATTTGCTAGGTAGAAAGGTACACAATGGGCTATTTGTGCTCTTCCCACCACGGGTATCGAAACCCAATTTTTAGCATCGTAGGCTTGCAGACTTACCGCGAAGCCACTAGAAAGCTCCAGTAATCGGAAGGATGTTATTGCACTAATATGTCGTGCGATTTAAAAAAACAATAATAATGGACACACTAGAGGTGAGAATAGTAGTGGGAAGCTTGAATTTGGCTTTTTACAAATTTGATAATTAATATACTGACTTCTTAGCGTACCACAGATATCAACAATGCGAACCACAGTTTCAAAATCACCAAGCTACAAGGTTGAAGTGGTAATCCACTAATTAAAACCCCTTCAGCAACTACTTTATTAAGATCTTAACACTAAAACGTTATTAATGACAACTTTAGAATATGATAGAAGGATTCTAGGTACTTCATTAAGAATTTTATCTTTGTAATTTTTCTTTCTTTCTGAACTGCCTTCGTTGGTTCAGCAGTAAGTCTCACAACTTAAAACGCTAAAATTCAAGTTTCGATACCCATAGTTAGCAGAGCATGTGTAGCTTTGTGCTTTTCATGTTTTATATGGGGGCCGAAATTCTATACAGTAGGTGTCTGTGACATGTTGGCGATAAATTTGAACAATAAACAAACAGCACACAGTCCACTTGTTTTAAAATAATATATTAAAATATGTCAAACGTATATACAAATGTTCTTTGTACTGCTGGTTACCACAATTGTATCCAGAGCTTTAAATAATTGGATTATTTTCGTCAAAGTCCACATAGACTGGTTCAGTTACTTTAGAACACAATTTGACAAGATAAATTATTCTGCTCCACTCTGTTATTACAATACAATCTTTGATAATTTCACTTTAAAAATCGCCACTAACCGCTTTTTATGGCTAAACTCACAATCATATTGTTAGCTATATCGAACTAAATTTTTAACGCGTATTTATACCTCGACATAAGTCTAGAACGTTCCACACAAGTACCATGAGCCGCATTACATATTTTCATGATACCATCTTTTATGTCTTCCAAACATTTAATTCGAGCGGATTCATACCATACGCTTTCTGTTGTTTTTAAAAGATAACCAACGGAAATGGTCACCATATTTTAGATTTATGTCACATTCAAATAAAAGGACAAGAAAGCTTACACTTAGCCAGAAACAAGTAATTTATCATTCTGGCGATCAAAACCAATTTAGATTGTTACATATATAATTTATTATTCTAATCTTCAAAAGTACAAACTTAGCACTACATGAAAACACTGAAATGCTTTTTGTGCTTGAAACAAGTTTTAAAATCTATGTATATTAGGAAAATCATATTTCAGCCAACCACAGACGCTGTACTGAAGCACAACGAGGTTACCATATCATTAATACACAGTGAAATGATTGTCATTAATACACAATGAGGTAACTATGTCACTAATACATAATTAGATTGTCATATCATTAATACACAATGACGTTACGATGTCACTAATACACAATGAGGTTACCATGTCACTAATACACAATGAGGTTACCATGTCATTATTACACAAATAGATTACCATATCATTACTACACAAATAATTATCATGCCATTATTACACAAATAGATTACCATGTCATTATTACACAAATAGATTACCATGTCATTAATACATTAATAATTATCATGTCATTATTACACAAATAGATTACCATGTCATTAATACATTAATAATTATCATGTCATTATTACACAAATAGATTACCATGTCATTAATACACAACGAGGTCACCATGCCTCTAAAATTATATAGTTAGGAATATCTTTCTTTCTTTACTATTTACGAGAACGTGTTTTCTATTCAGTCGTGGGAATAATTCCCTTTTAATGTCTTTGGAAAATATCGATATCACGAAATGACGAACTCTGTAGACAAATGGTCTGAAAGAAGCACTATAAGAGACTCAGACATCTTGGGTCCTGCTCTCACTGGAAGCTAAGGGATAGAGAGACTCGGTCATCTTGGGTCCTACTTTCACTGGAAGCTAAGAGATAGAGACTCGGCCATCTTGGGTCCTACTGTCACTGGAAGCTAAGAGATAGAGACTTAGTCATCTTGGGTCCTACTTTCACTGGAAGCTAAGAGATAGAGACTCGGCCATCTTGGGTCCTACTGTCACTGGAAGCTAAGAGATAGAGACTTAGTCATCTTGGGTCCTACTTTCACTGGAAGCTAAGAGA